TCCATAGGCGGCTAGGGTTTGAGAAGGTAAAAGAAAAATTAAAGAAAACAAAACAAAACCAAAGTGAAGAAGGAGGATTCATAGAGTGGTGATTTTTCTTTATTCATCACTTAAGGTAAGATTTATTTTATTGTATTCTTATCTATGATTTTGGTGTTAATATATCAATAGATGATTTTATGGGCATATATGATTAAATAGATATATTGATGTAGTCTATGTTGGGGGTCTCGATTTTGCTCAATTTTAGAGTGTATTTTGCATCCCGTTTGGGTGGTTCATATTTTGAGATTGATATGTGATGGGTTAAGTTTAATGGTGGTGTATTTGTGGGATACACGATTGACTACAAGCAATTACAAATTTTTACATGTATATAAACAGCAGTAGAATAATATGGGTTGAGAATTTCTGAAGCCGTGATGAATTTGTTTTGATGCTAAATCGTGGGAGTTCCTAATAGACTATTGGGATAATTTATTCTATTGTTGTTACAAGAAGAGATGGATGGGTGCACATAATAATTGTTTAAGCGGTGTAATATTCTATTAGGTTTGTGAGATTGAGGTGGATCTTGGTAATTTGAGATTAGCTTGAAAAATATTATTTTAGCTGTTTGAAGGTAAGTAACCCTCTATCACTGTTGGTTCATTTTTATTCCTACTGAATCGTTTAAAATTATAAATATTTATTTATAGTCTTCATGTTCTTTTAAAATAAAATATGGGTCAAGTATAAAACAATATCGAATATTATTATGAAAGTTATTTGAATATTTTGTGAAACTATTCTGAAAATTGTACCAAATGTTTATTAGATGAAGCATAAAATTTGTTTTGCAGCAAATTACCAGGTCCAGCGTCCATAAAAACAGCAATCCCAAAGATAAGTATAGGATTTGTTGTGGACTAAATTCAAACACATTCCAGGCAGAAATTCCTCCTAAAAGAGCAGCAAGCTGCAGGTTTCTTTCTATAGAACCAACTAATGGGGGTTATTTATTGGCACATAAACTAGTTTCTATTGGGGCTTTACCACCGGCCTATGTGTGATTCTGGGCCTTGTCACGGGCTAAGTGACCGTAGTCATTAAGACTTGGGTTTTGTAAATCAAATCATTAAACCATCTGAATATCGAACCACTGATTTGAACAACAAATTACTTTGAATTATCTTGTTGGCTTTTCGTTTAAAATGTATTGTAAATTGTTTATTTTTAGCTATGAAACGACCTTACAAATAATTGTTCATTTATTGAACTGTAGAAAAAATTATATTTATTGGTTATCGATTTATTTATTTATTTTTGTATACTTGATCTAGCTAGCAGTGATGGTTGGTTATTTACTGGACTATCTAGCTTACCCTTATTTTTTTTTTCAGATTCTGAAGAGTAGAGCTGCGCGGGATTTTTTACATGTGGGAGTGCCGAGAGTAAGACCATGATTTAAGTACTTAGATTATTGTTTTGTTAGTAGATTAAATTAGTGGACTTGGTGGACATTTTCATATAAGAACTATTTATTTTTATGGATTTTGGCATTATGACAATTAAGGATTTAATTTGAGTATTTTACATTGTGGGTTATGTGATTGGATTCTTAGCCTTGCATGCTCACTTATATGAGTGTGCGGCGTCGTCACGGAGCTTAGGGCGTGACAACATCATAGAGAAAAGTCAAACCACTAAGAATCACGGGGTATTTGTTGAGTAAACGCGGAAGCTCCCCCTCAATCAATGAGTCCTTTATATATATATATATATATTTTTTTTTTTTTCAACTTTTCTTCCTTGTGGGCACTCACTAGTGGCATGCACACTCAAGAGTATGGAGACCAAACCAGAAAAGAATGAAACAAAAAAGGATGGCTTGGCTGGTGCCTCTGAGGTAGCCTTTTCCTAGTGCCCGGACTTCAATGAGCTGAGGAAGGAATCGCAAAAGTGAAAAAAAAAAATGGTAGATGGTTAAGAGACTCAACATCACCCATGATATACCAGTATAGGTCAATTCCTCCAATAATGAAACAAATACACTGTTAGTGGTCCATAGAGAACTTTGATCACTTGTGCGGAAACCCCTACAACAGTTTATCTCAAGAATGTGTACAGAATGAGATCGTGAAGTCAATGAGTATGAGCATTCAAAATGAGCTATGAACAATGAACAATGAAGTCTAGCATGCAACATAAAAGGTGGTCATATTTTTCTAAGGCCAAGTTTGGCATATTGCAAAAAAACTAAAAAGTCAAAAAGTTACTCAAAAAGTTAAAAAGTTAACACTATTCACCAAATTCATCAAAAGTCAACAATTACGGCTGCACAACTCCCAATTCAAATTTTTCCCTACAAATCAATTTTTATAATTTTTTATTACACATTTTTCCATAAAAAAGTCAAAAAGTTAACCCAAACATCCATATTTTCTTCCTTAATTTTTTAGTCCAAAAAGACAAAAAGTACACTTATTTAGGACACCCTAAACAACCCCTAAATGCAGAGATGAGAGGAATTAAGGAGAACGAGATTATAACATCCAAGTATACAGAAAAAACAATCATACACACCCCCTCCAGTAACAGATAACACCCTAACAACTGAGCACTACACCCAAGGTCTTTCTAAGGAACTCAAACCTAAGAAGATCAAGGGATTTTGTAAAAATATCAGCTTTTTGGTGCTCAATGGAAATATGTTCAAGTACAACAAGGCCTTCTTCTACTAATTCTCGAATAAAATGATGACGAATGTCAATGTGTTTGGTGTGAGAGTGTTGGACAGTATTTTTTGAAATGTTTATGGCACTTATGTTATCACAGAAAAGAGTGAGAGTGCTCTGATCTATCCCAGAATCATGAAGCATTTGCTTCATCCACAACATTTGTGCACAACAACTCCCTACAGAAATGTACTCAGCCTCAGCAGTCGAAAGAGAGATGACATTTTGCTTTTTACCATGCTAGGAAACCAAATTATTCCCAAGGTAAAAAAACCCCCCGGATGTACTCTTCCCATCATCAGCACACCCTGCCCAGTCGGCATCAGAAAAACCAGTAATTTCAGCTGTAGTATCGGTAAAAAACCAAACCCCATACCCCAACGTGTCATTAACATATTTAATGATGCGTTTGACCACAAGAAGATGAGACTCTTTAGGACTGGCTTGGTAACTGGCACAAACACAAACACCTACACTGAAAGCAATATCAGGACGACTGACAGTGAGGTAAAGAAGACTCCATATCATACTCCTATAAAGGGTAGGATCAACACTAGTGCCAGAGGAATCTTTGGAAAGGTGAGGACTGGTGCTTATGGGTGTGCGTGCATGTTTGGCAGACTCAAGACCAAACTTTGACACAAGATTTTTGGCACACTTAGTCTGAAAAACATACCCGAAGGAGACTGTTTAATTTGAAAACCCAAGAAATAAGACAACTCTCCCATCATACTCATCTCAAACTCATGTGTCATGCAATTCGAAAAATATTTCACAAGATGATCAGCAGTGGATCCAAACACAATATCATCAACATAAATTTTTGGTTATTTATTATTGGACTATTGTTTAATTGTTCAAGGTGAAATTGAATGCGTGTTTAGGCTTACGTGTGCCTTGGGCTAAGTCCCTGTGGGCCACGGCCGGTCATGCCCGGATTTGGGGTGTGACACATACAAAGCCTTGTCTAACTTGTAGATATGGTTTAGACATTTAGGGTCCTCAAACCCTTTTGGTCACAATTCCAATCTTTGCTCAATTCATATACTCAACTACACATTCTTGTTGAAGTCACATTTATATTACTTAAGTTCATGAATTTAGAGTTCAATCGCCTAGTTATAGCCTTTAATTCCTCCAAATTAAGCTAGCTCTTGAGCTTAGCTCTTCAAATCTCCAATTCACCAAGTAAATCTCCCAAGTTGAGTTCCTTCTCTCTCTAATGCTCACTTTTCTCTCTCTCTCTCTCTCTAGGGTGTATGACTTCAGAATTTTGAGCTCAAGAATGAGCTTAATTACAATTAGAACACATATATATGTACTTGACTAATTGAGATGGCTAATCAAGGTTTAGTGCTAATTAATTAGGCTCACTTGAATTGAATTAATCTAATTATTTTGATCCGAGTCAATTTTTAATCAAATTTTCCCGTAGGCTCTAAAAATTATCTTAATCACAATAGTATAGTCAATTTTGATTCCCATTGCCTCTACGGCCTTCAATTTCAGTTTACTACAGAATACTGAACAGATTTCTCTACAATGGACAAATATAAATTCAAAAATGCATATAATCACATACTTAGCATCCAAATTCATATTAAGCACATAATCACAAGTGTAATTAAAGATTAACGGCATAACACAGAATGAGATTATCACACGTAATCATGCAAATATGATTATAATTTCTTTGTATATATATATATATTTCAGCATATATGGAATATAAAGTGATTTATCTTTTATGTCATAATTTTATTCTTTTCACACACACACCCTCTAAGCATAATTCAATTGCTATAAAAACTATTTCATACTTGTATAAAGTTGTTAGCTCAATGCGCATCCAAAATGTCCTCAAAATCATATAGAAACTGCAATCTCCAGGAATTACTATTCAAGTATTTGACATGGAAATTTAAATAATGGTTGAAGATTTAAGCTCCCAAAGTAATTGGGATAAAGGCTTGTTGAGTTGAGGATAGTTTTTTAAGCTTGTGTGTTTAAATTATACCTAGTTTACAATCAAGGCCTCTAATTAACCCTTGTTCTTTTAATATATAGTTAATGACCTTAGTTGCTTGGTCATGATTATTTTCTGATAGTTGCGACCATGGGAACTTTTACCAAACCGCCTTAGTTTTTCAGATTGAAAGGTTGTCAATTCATCCATGGCGATGTATTGTATGGTGGGAGAATTCTTCACTTAATAAGTCGTTTCAAAGTTTTCCACAAAAGGATTCCACAAAAGGATTCTGGTAGAATGTGTGAGAAAAATCATAAAAAGCCATTAGATAGTGATGGTCCCTCCCTTGGCAATTTTTATTCAACATAATTTTCTTCCAAAACAGTTGATGCAGTGAAATTACATGGTAATCTGATTTTTTACATGTTTGTTTATACATCTGCATATGAATCAAACTTGATTGCACGTATGGATATGGGACTCTTCACAAAGTGTTTGCCATCTGTCCATACTAAGCTTCCAAATCTGTAATCTCCATGCATCTTTCGAGTTGAGAAAAAGGTAACTTTGAAGGGAAGAGCTCGGATGGTTGAATTGAAACGTAGAATTTGAGGTTCAACTACCATTTGAACACCATATGGAGCTTCTACTTGCACTTTATATTCTGAATTAATGTCTCCCACATTAGACACAATTCTCAAGACTGTTACTGTCCTCTTCAAGTTGGGAATGGTGATAGAAGGCAGGTTGAGGTTAAGTAAGAAGTGGTTGCTTTTCATGCAGTTGGTTGTTGTTTTGGTTAATCTGCTAATGGATATGTTGCTGTAACCCATGGCACACATAAATTGAATGTAGTCTTGTTTGCTAATATTGTAAATAAGTCCTGGATTTATTGCTCTGTTGGGATTGACATGCCCACCACCAATGTCGAATGGATCAGCCTTCTTGAGCGTTGGCCCCATCTCGGTTATGTCCATTCCATCTGTACCCTTTTGTGATGCTGGTGATTGCTTGTCTATTAGAGTCAAGTGTGGACTGCAAGAAGAAGAAGAAGAAACAAAAAAAAAGAAAGAAGAATTTTACTGAATGTGACTCACCAGTAGTGACGAGGGCTGATCGTATGGCTGCAGGAGACCAATCTGGGTGTGCAGATTTGATGAGAGCTACTATTCCAGTGACATGAGGACAAGCCATTGAAGTTCCTGATAGGAATGCATAGCCACTTCCATGCTTTGTACCCATTGGTGGGTATGCAGCTAAAATGCTCACTCCTGGTGCAGCTACGTCCGGCTTTTTCGATGGAACCAAAATTGGAATGAGTTCAAACTTGGCATGTTATATATCAACATCAATAAAAGCACTGAAGAGAATTAACATGCTCTGTTTGCACTCTAAATTAGTCAATCAGTGGGTAATATTCCAAATTCTTTTTGTAAATTTTTGGGCAAATTACCGACAGGCAATCCATGTTTTGGCTAAATCTCAAGGGTGCGTTGATAGTTTGCCCTCAATTTGTCCATCTTCACATAAACCAAACATTTCATAAAGGAAATTTATATGTTTTGAGATATGTTTACACATTCCAACAATTACATTTTTATTTTCTATTGAAGGGGCATTATGCTTTATAAGCATAGCATATAGCATTGAGAACAGCTCATTCAGTTTTTTTTTTTTTCTTTTTTCAATTATTTATTTATTTATTTTTTAAGGTTACTTCTGCTGAGTATTTATTGTTTCAGCATTCCTGTTAATTTCACCAACCATTCATCCTTATGTTTATGTTCGAACCCACTGCCTTTCCATTTTTCCTATAGAATCTAAGTTGATTTCCACGCAAAGCCTGAATTCTTTAACGTAGTCACTGGATATTTATTTTGCATTCTTTCATTTTCTACTCATAAATGTGTGTGTGAGACCCTTATTTGTATTACATTCTTGTGTGTTTTGACAATTATTTGTTACATATTTGAATATTACCTGAACAATTTCAGTTTCATGGGGGAGAAAAATACTTAAGCTTAATATCTTATTACCCCACCAAAAGCAAATATAACAATGAATGTGAATTAGTTAGATTCTTTCTTTATATAACAAGAGTCCACTTTTTAGCAATGAATGTGAATTATACTTTGAGGTTACCCATATATCATATGGCAAGTTTGGCAACCAGTAAACTTCCCAGTGAACTGAAGTTGCCAACAAAAATCAAATAACATATAATTTAGCATATTAGGCATACCTTTAGTACAGCTGGGCTCATGGAACTGGGTCCTCTGGAAGAGAAATATGCAACACGAGGAGACATAGTTTCCCCTATCACAGTCCTCGGGAAACTAAGCTTCACAGTAGGATTCCTTCATGGAGATACAAGTGGACTTGTGGTTAATTTCTCAATCTGTTTTATAGGCATATGATAATGATATGCACTTTTTTGTTCATGTCTTAATTAAACCTCTCTATCAGCTATGTCCTCCTTCCTTACCGTGCTTTTCTGATGTAGGTTAGAATCTGTGTCCCTGCTTCATAATCTACTCTAATACAAGGGATTACATCACACGAGTCAAGCAGGTTATCATCAAACTGTGCATATATCAGTCCGATCCCTCCTGCATTTTTCACAGCCCTCGATGCAGAAACCATATTCTGTTGGTTTGGTAGTGAGAAACACAGCACAAATTTTCCAGCTGCTAATGTTGTGTTGAGACTCCCAAGATGACAACCCTTGCTGGACAAACATCAACAGGAAAATAAAACAGTATTATATATACACAGCATAGGTACAAGAAGAAGAATAAGAAGAAGAAGAAGAAGAAAAAGAAGAAAAGGGGAAGGTGAAGAAAAGGGGAAGGTCAAACGCCGAATCATCTGTCGAGTCTGATGCTATGCGTTCAGAGTAAACAAGGCCAGTGAATCTGTGTTTGTGTTTACCAGTACTATGAGATTGACCCTGCAAATTAAAAAACAAAACCATTTGCAAGAAAGCTCATGAAGATGAAACAGCCCTTCTGCAATTACACATGATTCTGAGAATATCTCTAGTAGTAGTACTAGTACTAATACCATAAGAGTGTGGTTGTTTCCAAATGTAATGGCTGTTGGGAAGTCCCTGTCAATGGTGGTTGCTGCCACAGTGATGAGCCAGGGAGCAGTGTTGACAATTGTTTGTGAGAAGGGTCCATCATTTCCTCCTGAAGATACTACAGTAATGCCCTTTGTGGTCGCATGGAAAGAACCAATAGCAATTGAATCACGCCGATCAACGTAAGAAAATAATGGAATCTCAATGCCAAGTGACACAGATAGGATGTCCACTCCATCTTCTATGGCTTTGTCAAATGCTTTTAATATATCAGCGTCCGTGCATCGTCCTGTACCAATGGCCCAACAAGCTTTGTAAATTGCTAAGTGAGCACGAGGTGCACCACCTCTAGCTACACCCCAAGCTAGTCCTTTATAGTTTGCTTTCTCCACAAAACCACCAGCTGCTGTGGAGGCAGTATGAGTGCCATGACCAATTCTATCCCGTGGCGAGAGAAATTCAATGTTATTAGTTGTGTTTATTGGGATCTTCATTTGGTCCCTGAGTCCCTCAATGAACCAGCGAGCTCCAATCAATTTTTTATTGCAATTGCTGTGGTTGAAGTGCTCTCCGTGCTGGCAAGTTCCTTTCCAATGTGGTGGAATTGGACCCATGCCTTCATCATTGAAACTTTCAGACTCTGGCCAGATTCCTACAGAGTTGCAGAATCATCTATCCAAGTTTAGAACCCTTTTTTTTAAAAAAAGATAAATAAAAATAACTTTGGGTGACGCTTCAGATTATAATGTTATGAGGTCATATATCATCACCTGAATCTATGACGCCAATGATTGTTCCATCCCCCATATTGCCCTCTGTTGTTAAATTTTTTTTTCGAGAATAATGATGGAGTCCAAGAAAATCCCAGCTTCGAGTTGTATGGAACTTTTGGATGCCATTTGGAAACACTTGGACAACTCCTGGGAACTCTGAAATTCATAGCCCCAAACTGTTAAGGCAGTGTTTGGATAGGTGGAGATTTGGATAGCAAAAGGGAAAAGGTGAAGCAAATGTGAATCAAATATAAGCTAAATTTTTTTTCCACTTCCCTTTCCCTTTCCAAATCCATATCCCAATCCATGATCCAAACAAAGCATAAAGGTAACTGAAAAATATGAGTTCCCTGTGCTTAGTAATTAAAAAAATCTTGCAAGGTAGATTTTCTTAGCTGAAAAGTACCTGCAATCTTTTCTGCTTGGGATTTTGTTAGCCTCGCTGCAAACCCCGAAAATCCATGCTTGTAGCTGTAAAGAATTGAACTCCTGGCAGCTTCTTTGCTTCAATACAAATTGACAGCTTTAGTTTCAATCACACTATTATTGTCAGTAAGGAATAAGGATGACAAATTGTATCAACATTTGTAATCAAGAGGGTTATCTGAAACCATATCTATATATATACACCTTCCAAGCAGAGTTGAAAGCATTTTGTGGTGCAATTTCCTGACACTTGCTGGATCCTCATACTGCCTCTCTCCCATATACACAATGTGCACCTAAAGACATGCATATTCTTTAACCAGTTATGGGAAATAAGGCTGGAACTGGAACTTAAAATACTAAAATATGATAGCTTACATTACTTGTGGCCTGAACAAACATTACCGAGGTATTTGGATAGTTTTGAAATACGAAGAAGAAACTAAAAATGGCTAGGCAAAGGCTTTTACTTGCCCCTCGCCAGCTACTTGATTTTGTATCCATTGTTCACTCACAAGTATGGTTTTTTGTGTTTTTCTATTGCAGTGCAAGTCCAACATCAGTGAATGATGTGTGGTTTTGAAATTTAAGGAAATGAGAAAAGTGGAATATACTTCTTTCTTTTTTTTCTTTTTTTCTTTTTTTTGTGAGGTTTTTTTTTTTGGGAAAACTACGTACAGGTCGGAGAAAGGGAAAAAATTACTAACACATGAGGGATAGGGTGCAAATGAAAGACTGGGGGTGCACCCCTCATGTATTGGTAATTTTTTTCTCTCTCTCCCACCTACATGTAGTTCTTCCTTCTTTTTTTTTTCGTTTTTTCTTTTCTTTTTTTTTTTTTTTCCTACTCTTTATTGATCAATGGCTAAGAAATCCAGACTTATGTACTACTGATTCATTAACAATCATTAGGGTGGGAAGATGCTTGGGCAATATGATCTATTGAATAATATAATATTCCAAGACATGTGATGCACACGCACAAACTGCAAAGATGGATTTGCTGGAAGTTTGTAAATGTTTGCTTTGTAATTCGTGATCAACATTTTCTCCAGTTTTGATGTCTGTCAAGTGTCAACTTAAACAGAGGCACAAATGCCCTTGAGCTGGATCCATTGAACATCATTTCAGTACATCCAAGCTTTTTATCTTTTACGCTGTGTTTGGTTGGAGATTTGGAAAGAAATTTGGAAACGGAAAGGAAAAATGGAGTGAAATGTGAATAAAACATACATATATTTCACCTACTTTCACATCTTTTCCTTTTTCCTTATCAAATCCATTCTCAAATCTCTCAACCAAACAGCGTTAGGGGACCATCTCAGGCATAATCATACTAATCAACCATTGTTTATATATTTTGCCCCCATATGAGATCATCTACCTTGTGGTTTTCGGAAATTTGCTTTTGTTTCACTAGTCGGAAAATGCTTTGGTTTGCTACTGTTTTTTTAACAGATACAGAAAAATGAATACAGAACAACAGTTTTTGTAACTGACATGTCATTTCTCATAAAATTGTTAGCTTTGAGTTATTAGTTACCTGCAAAGGTGTTTTATGTTTGTGCCCAATAATTTAAGGTAATAGAGAGTGATCTTCACGCTCAATGGTCCAGAGTCCAAAGACTTTTTGCCAAAAGCTAGTGGCAAAGCAAGATTTTTCCACCGACTACTTGTGCACTACTGTGGCGTGCTTTTCCATTATTAGCAGTGGGAGTGGGGTTTCTTCCTTTTTTTTTCTGAAGCAAAAAAGGAAAGAAAGTTAATAATTAAGGTGGTGTACTCAGGGCAAAGGTCGATAACATGCACCAAGGGAAAGGAGCACTATATATAAATAATGCTTATATATAAAGTTGTAAAGAGAACAGGGGTGAGTCAATGATAGCAAAGGCACCTTGATCTGGTCCCTATATCATCTATCATCTTTAATCTATAATAATAATGACAAGCTTGTTAAAGTTGTAACGAGCGGTGATGCATAATGCTGAAAAAATGGATTTTTAATTTCAATCAGTTGGATTTTTAATTATTTCTTTAGAATTATTCGCATTTTTAACACAACTGTTCTGATTCTTCTCAGAGGGAAACAACCCAGTTCCAATTGAGGGCTGCTAAATAAAATGATACAGATATGTCAATGCACAAGTAATATCATCCTTTTGAGATGAAGGATGATACAATATTTACACGAAATTTCCCATTGCGACCTAGGCTGTGAATTCTTCCACCCAAACATATATATAATATAGGGGTAATAACCCATCAGTGGATGGTTGGGAAAAAAAAGAAAAAAAGAAAAAAAAAATTCAAATTAATGATAAAGTTTATAAACTTTAATTATTAAAGACATGAACTTTTCATTGGTACGTAATTATTTTTGAAAACTCCACTTAATTTGCATTTCCCCTAGAATATATGGAGGTGACCCTTGCTTTAGGCCGATCAGTCGGTCGCCCAAGGTCTCCAATTTTACAGCCTCCAATTTTCGCCCTTTAATTTTCGTACCCCATAAAAAACATTCTCTTTGTTCAAAAGCTTAGCAAAGGGGAAAAAAAACCTTATCTAAAAGCTTAGAAAAGTAGGGAGATCACAAGGCTAAACATTGCCTTGTTTTTGGTAGATTAATTTTTATTTTTTACTATCTAGCTTGACCATGGAATTGCAACAGCAAGAAGAGGAATTCCTCTGTGGATTGTGACACCAGGGCATTCAGTCATGTCCAAATCCTCAGCTTTGGCTCCACCAGGCAACTCCCAATCAAACTTGTGTAGCAGATTTGCTAAGACCAGCTCATTCACGGCCATTGCAAAAGAGATTCCTGGGCAACCCCTCCTTCCAGCACCAAATGGAATCAATTGGAAGTCCATCCCTTTGTAATCAATAGCAGAATTTAAGAACCTCTCTGGCCTAAACTCCTCTGGCTCATCCCACACAGCAGGGTCTCTCCCAATCGCCCAAGCATTAGTCATAACCATTGTTCCAGCAGCAACATCATAGCCCATCACTTTGATATCTTGCCTTGCTTCTCTTGGCCCAAGTAATGGAATTGGGGGATGAAAGCGGAAAACTTCCTTAATCACGGCTCTCAAGTAGTGCATTTTCTCCAAATCATCATCTGTTATGTCATGTTTTCCTCTAACAACTTCTCTCACCTCGTTTTGCGCTTTCTTCATGACTCTAGGGTACCGTAACAATCCTGTCATTGCCCACTCTAGAAATGTTGACGTTGTATCAGTTCCAGCTGCAAAGGTAGTCTGCAAGAAACGGAAAGATAGACAAGTGTCACATAGTTAATCAGTCTTGAACCCCAATTGGAATGGTAAGTGTTAGGTTTTTATTCTTGGCAACCCCGTTTGACAAAACTCCTTTAAATTGTATTTGTTTTCGCACTTTTTATTTCAGTGAGACTATGAGTTTTTAGATGTGAATCCAATCCGAATTGTGCCTTGCAGAGAAGTCTTATGATGTTAATTCTTTCAAGATTGTCACTTTGTTGATCATGACGGGAATCGAGCTGCCCGGTCAGCTCGCGGGGGTCCAGGGGGTAGCGTCCCTTGGCAGGTCCGGGGCAGCGCCACGGCGTGGTCGAGGGGCAACGCCCCCGAAGCAAAATGCAAAAATGCATTCAAAGTTGCCTGTCTGCTCGAGCGGACATTCCCCCGCTCGAGCGGAGAATGCTGAGTTCCAAAAGTTTATTCGCCTGCAAAAATACTAGATGTTGTTTTTTCCCACTCGAGCGGAACTTTCCCCGCTCGAGCGTAGGTCCGCTCGAGCGGAGATCGCGGGACAGTTTTTTATAAATACGTGTTTAAGTCAGATTCTAGGGTAACGCCTCCAGACCTTCTTCTTGGGTTTTAGGGTTTATATCTGGGGCTATTTTACTAGTTTTCTTTGATGTTTCATTGAGTATTCAACTCATGGTTTAAGAAGCATACATCTAATGTTTGTTTGTTTATTCTACACAAAAAGAGAGAGTTGTTCTTCAGTAGATTCTGGGGAATTCGAGCCTGAAGCTTTGGTGGATTCTAGAGTGGCTCATCGTCAAGACAATTTCGAGGTGAAGACGGGGTTGGAAGAGGCACATAGGGGTTGGTTCAATTCGGGCGTGGATTCGCAAGGTAATTGAAAGTATACGTGTGTAATTCCTTTATATCTTCTTAGTAGATTGTTTTGTGGCTGTTGCCCATGGTTTTTTTATCACAATTAGAGGTGCTCCAATTGTGGTTTTTCCACGTTAAAATAGTTGTGTTGATTTGTCTTAATTGTTTGATTATGATTGTTATATACTACTTAAAATTGATACATAATTACAAATCAATATCTAAGGGATTTCTAGATTTTTCAAATGTTCAAACACAGAGAGAGAGAGAGAGAGAGTGTTACCAAAATGACAGCTTTAATGCTATCTTTATCAATAGAAATACCAGCACTACTATCCTTATATATCCTAAGCAAAGTATCAAGAAAATCCTCCTTGCCTTCATTACTAGAGATCTCTTTTTCCAAGCAATTCATTCGCTCTACAAGTACACCCTCAAGGAAATCATCAAGCTCTATGGCTACCCTCTCTACTTCAGCATCCAATCCATTGACTCGGCTAACAATCCAACCCAGCCATGGAAATAAGCTCCCAATGTCAAAACGACTTAATAGCCCTAAATAATCCTTCAACAGCTGCTTCATCTTCTTACCACTTTCGCCATCGCCGTACTTCCTCCCAAAAGCTGCCATGCTTATCACATCATTCGTAAGTGATGTAAACATTTCGCTTAAATTCACTGGCAATGACAAAGAAGAAGACTCTTTGATCTTGTTCATCACGAGGGATATTTCTTCTGTTCTTAGATTGTGGAAATACTGAACTCTTCTGTTACTCAGAAGCTGGAGCACAAAAATGCTCTTCATCTGCCTCCAAAACTCACCATAAGGAGCCACTGAAACATCCTTGTAGTCGTACGTAAGTCTCTTCAAGATTTTTGATTTGGGCCTGTTTGCGATGCTGAGATCATGGTTTTTCATGATCTCAGAAGCTGCATCAGCGGATGAAATCACTAGTGTTGGTTTACTGCCCAGGTGAAGCAGCATAATTGGACCGTGTTTTTCAGCTAAGGATCGGAGTGAGCGGTGTGCAAACAAGCCGATTTGATGGAAGTTTCCTATAATTGGGAGCTTCGGTGGTGAGGGTGGTCGATTTTTGTTGCTATTTGCACTATTGGTGAGCCATTTGATAAAGAGGAGGAACAAGAAGAACATGGAAAGGAAAGAGAGAGATAAGGGATTCAACAAGAACAAAGAAGGTGCTTGCTGCTCTAACAATTTCAAAAAACTAGACATTTTTGCTATCTGTGTTTCTTTGCTTGTGTCTGTGTGTGTCTTCTCAATTTTTCTGGTGTTACTCATACTCTTTATGTCATTATATGCATAGAGAAGACAAACACAAGATACCTCGTTCAAATAAACAAAAACACAAGATGCCAATTCATCATAATTCATAGTATATTTTATTTTAATTTCATTTTTCTCATTAAAATATGAACCAATTATTTCATTAATAATTTATTTTATATAAAATTGTATAATAAAAATGTTTTTAATTGTTGAAATTAAATGAATTTTTATAAACAAAAACATAAGCATAAAGATTTATCAACTATTTTATGCACTGACAAATATATAAATATGTCATAATATATATATATATAGTTTCATAACTCTTTGTAGTTTTAATAGAATTAGCCCTTTTACATTTTTTACACTAAAAGAATTCATAATTTCAAATAACAAGAAATGATGCATTTTATACTATAGTTGAAATTTTTAATTTTAAATTTTAATAGAATTAGCCCAATTATTATTTATGATTTTTAATATAATATTAATAGTTTTTATAATTAAAAACTTTAATTTTAATGAAATATTTAATCTAACATTCCTTTTCAACTTTTGATAATAAGAGAGATCCATAATATTTTATTTGGTAACTTAAAATCCCTCACCCACTCAACTCAACTCAACTCAGCCGCACCCGCACCTGCACCCACCTCTTTTTTTGGCTCTCTCTCCCTCCTTTTTCTTTTCTCTTCTCACACCTTTTCTCTAATCTCCTCCCCTGGCACAGATTAGAATCGAATTTGCATCATCGAAGTAGTTTACCATCTCCAAAAGAGGTGCAGAAAGGAAACCGAGATGTCATTGATTCCTTTACATGTTGCTTCTGATGTTCCAGCACCCACAAGCAAACCCTCAACCTGCTTGTCTTTTTCAAACAGTAGAGTACTGAAAATAAATTACATTGTCCACACACATACATACACATACACATACATATATATATATATATAACAAGAATAGTTAATGGCATCTCATCGAAGTACTATTTGAATTGATGCTTAATGGAATTGTAGGAGTTTGAAAATTAGGCATAAGAATTGTCTTCTTCAACCATTGATTTGTTGTCTTTTTGGCTCTTTGTTTCAAGTTGAGAATGGAAAAAAATTCTCTGGATTTTTTTTCAAAATTTCTCTTCGCAAGGGAAATTTCTCTGTGAATATTCTTGAGGCGAGCAGTGAAGGTTCTGGTGAGGGAAGAAATCTCCAGTGGCTGAACGAGCAACTCGAGAATAGAGATGAAGAGAGAGAGAGAGAGAGAGAGAGAGAGAGAGAAGATGTTGACGTTGAAGAGGATGAAGATGAAGGTGATAAACCAGAGAAGCCATATATAGATATAGATGAATATGTATGTATGTACGTATGTATATCAATGGCATCATCTGGTTTCTTTTTGATCTGTAGTCAAAACACAATTTTATCTAATTTGCTCACAACACGGAGAAAATTGTGAACATAAAGAAATTTGTGAGTAAATCAAAAAAATTTCAAAATATAAAAAATTTAAAAATATAAAGAAAATCAGATAAATTGAGCACATTAGAAAAATTTCAAAACATAGGAAAATTTGTTTGAAATTTGTTTATGTTTTGAAATTTTTCTAAATTAAAATTTCTCTGAAAAATATTTTGTGACGCCAACCACTATGAAAATATAACTATGAAAATATTCTTTATCCTTTAAAATCTTAATATCATGGACTTTAAAAAAAATTTAATTTTAATTAAGTTAAAATTTTATATAAAATTATATGAAGAGTAAAATTAAGATAAGATGCACCATTACAGAGAAATGGACTTTTGAAAATATTATATTATTTTTTTTGCGGGGTAGGTAAGCCATATTTTTATACCAAAAAAATTAGGTATTATAATGAATTCATTACATTTCTAAAAGGTAACATTGAAGGGAAACACTTACTAGCTAATAACAAGATAATCTACATAAATTTAAACAAGTCCACAGCTAAGCTAAAATGGCACGACACATTGAACAAATAGATTTTTAAAAAAATTCTATCCAATCAAATACTGGACAAGAAAACCCGCCAAGACTTTGAAACCAGCCCATGGTTTAGGGCAAATCAGCCCCTAATTTTCACCAAACGCAGTCCATGGTTTGAAAGTAAGTAAAAAAAATTTAAGTAAAATATTTTTTTATCATAAATTATAAAATAATTTATGTCAGCCAAGACTTTGAAACCAGCCCATGGTTTAGAGCAAATCAGCCCCTAATTTTCACCAAACGCAGTCCATGGTTTGAAAGTAAGTAAAAAAAATTTAAGTAAAATATTTTTTTTATCATAAATTATAAAATAATTTATGTTTAAAAATTTTGTACGTTATTTTTGCTTTTTTGTTATCACAGTGAATACTATTTGATGGACAAGTCTCGTTGCTTTTATATTCACTCAACGTTCTCTCTCTCTCTCTATATATATATATATATACATTTAACATTTTGGGCAATTGATAGGAATTAGGTTTCAGAATTTTTATTTTTGTTGCATTCAATACTTGTCTTATTTTATTTTTGAGTAATGATATATGTACGAACACGAAATAATCGTCACTTGTATAATTTTGTTGATCAAATTCGCGTACCTCCAAACGTCGCCGTATGATTTGAAATCACAAACGTGAGCTAGCTAGCAGATGTGTCTCGAAAACTCCTTCGATGCCTAAGTCAGCAAATAAAACAGAGAAAAAGCTTAATGAATTTGAGTACTAAAATTGCAATACCTAGCATTAGGTTAGGTTTTAGCTTTTATAAGTATTGCATGGAAAAATCCTAATAGGTGTCTAATTCCTCTTCGTAGATTCCTCTTGGAAATCACATTCGTAAAAAATAACGTCTATCCTTTAACACCCTCCTCATTGCAAACCAAGTGATATGGCATAACTCTTTGTCCAGTTTCTAGCCGAGCAGTTGAACTGCATTTTCCTTATTGGTTCTTCTGCTAACTGAGCTATATGGAGTTCCATATAAAGCCAATGCGGTGTGCAACTGTCACAGTCCAAACCCAAGCATAACTGTCCTTGGCTCATAGGGCCTTAGCTCAAGGCACATGTAAGCCTAAAACCAAAACCATAATCACATAGAATACATGTAACAATAGTCCAGTAATAAATAAATCAAACTCAATCCAATGACATGCCAAAAATATGCATGGCAAACAAGTCATAACGAATTTTCAAAAAAAAAAAAAAGGATATATACTAAATAGGACACAAACCGCCCACAAAATAAAATAATTCTAAATAAAATCTAACCACAATATATGCACAAAATCCGACATAACATGCTAAAACAAAATAAATGAATATCTTAGAGGTCCATCCAATTGAGTCTCCGTTACGCCATGAGTCCACTCTAAGTCCTTTTAACACTTGAAAATGATAAACAACTAAGTCAGCTTGATAGCTTAGTGTGTAGCGACATGAATAGTAAATACAATTTTGAAAACATGTTTCAATTCCAAAATAAAAAATATATCACAAAAATTAGATTGACATACAATTTTGATAAAGATAATATGTTTTAAAAAGAAGGTTCCACAGTTCAACAGTTAAAATACTCAGATCTCTCATAACATAATAAATGACATTCTCCACTTAAAACAGATTACAACATGATCACCAATAATTTTTTGGGTACCAAGAATAACAAGTAAATACGCCACACAGTTCTCAAGACAATAAGCCCGTTGAATCCAATATCGTACCAATGGGAAGCAACTCGGGCCCTTTCTCCAAGATGATCCGATTAAAGGTCACCTAGCCTAGCCCAGGTCTTTTCTTTACAATCGTTGAGCACTAGAATAATCACAACTCAACCCGAATTTATTCCCTAGTAATTAGAGTCACCACACACAGTGGAATAATTTTCCTAGGCTTTTATATACAGATGGTTCTAATAATCAATACAATTCAGTTTTACAAAAATGGTAGTATAGATTTTGATGACAGATTTTAATGCACCAGTTAATATAGGTTTTGAATCCCAAAAATTATGAGAAAATTCTGATATGAGAAATTTCCCAATGCCGCCTAGGCTGTGAATTCTTCCACCCAAACATATACATCATATAAGGGTAATAACCCATCAGTGGATGGTTGGGAATAAAAAAAAAAAAGAAAAAAAAAAATTCAAATTAATGATAAAGTTTATAAACCTAAATTATTAAAGTCATAAAGTTTTCATTGGTGTAATTATTTTTGAAAACTCTACTTAATTTGCATTTCCCCTAGAATATATGGGGGTGACCCTTGCTTTAGGCCGATCAGTCGGTCGCCCAAGGTCTCCAATTTTTTTACAGCCTCCAATTTTCGCCCTTTAATTTTTGTACCCCATAAAAAACATTCTCTTTGTTCAAAAGCTTAGCAAAGGGGAAACAAATCTTATCTAAAAGCTTAGAAAAGTAGGGAGATCACAAGGCTAAACATTGCCTCGTTTTTGGTAGATTAATTTTTATTTAGCACTATCTAGCTTGACCATGGAATTGCAACAGCAAGAAGAGGAATTCCTCTGTGGATTGTGACACCAGGGCATTCAGTCATGTCCAAATCCTCAGCTTTGGCTACACCAGGCAACTCCCAATCAAACTTGTGTAGCAGATTTGCTAAGACCAGCTCATTCACGGCCATTGCAAAAGAGATTCCTGGGCAACCCCTCCTTCCAGCACCAAATGGAATCAATTGGAAGTCCATCCCTTTGTAATCAATAGAAGAATTTAAGAACCTCTCTGGCCTAAACTCCTCTGGCTCATCCCACACAGAAGGGTCTCTCCCAATCGCCCAAGCATTAATCATAACCATTGTTCCAGCAGCAACATCATAGCCCATCACTTTGATATCATGCCTTGCTTCTCTTGGCACCAGTAATGGAATTGGGGGATGAAAGCGAAAAACTTCCTTAATCACGGCTCTCAAGTAGTGCATTTTCTCCAAATCATCATCTGTTATGTCATGTTTTCCTCTAACAACTTCTCTCACCTCGTTTTGCACTTTCTTCATGACTCTAGGGTACCTTAACAATCCTGTCATTGCCCACTCTAAAAATGTTGATGTTGTATCAGTTCCAGCTGCAAAGGTAGTCTGCAAGAAACGGAAAGATAGACAAGTGACACATAGTTAATCAGTCTTGAACCCCAATTTGAATGGTAAGAAATGCTCAAACACACACAGAGAGAGAGAGAGAGAGAGAGATATAGAGAGAGTTACCAAAATGACAGCTTTAATGCTATCTTTATCAATAGAAATACCAGCACTACTATCCTTATATATCCTAAGCAAAAT